CCTGAACAGTAAACTTTGAAGTGTCAGCTTTGTGAACATATGTTGATTATGTATCTAGTAAGAAAGACTCACGAGCAGCAACCTTTTTATTTTGGGTATGTCATTTGTGTCTCCATGCTGAAAATGGGGGGTGACAGCTAAGGGGTTAAGTATATCTTTAGGTGGACTTCAGCACTACTTCTGCACAATTAAAGTGCATTAAGTACAAAATTAGTTGTTCCAATTTAGCAGACTTTAAGTATACTAAATTGTACAATTGCAGGATATTTTTTTAAGCACATAAATACGTCAATGTATTTGTAGTATACTTAGCATGAAATAAAAGTATCTCAAACACATTTTAGTACTTTTTCACTAGGGTTTACATGAACTAATTTTCATTAGTCCAAATTAATCCAATCCGATTTTAGATTCTAAAAGATCTGTACAAATGAACCCTAAAAACTGCAAAATGATTCACATATTTATTTACATGTGCGTTACATGCATTCCGAACAAAACTTTAGCGCATACTCAGTGTCCAGTCACTGCAGTCAGAACTAGAGAAAACTAAAGCAAGCATTGATGACATCTACAAAGAAAGCTGACATATATGCAAATATTTAGTAAATATTCAGACAACTGACCAGTTTGTAATAATAAACACACAGATGTTCATAAGATGTAAAACATATGTAAACATACCCATCACAGCACTGCGCATGTGGACGACATATATTTGAAAATAGTCGGATTTAAGTGTTCACATGCATATTTTTTTCCTATTGATCAGATTATTTCAGGTCTACCCTTTCAAATCAGATGGAAATTTAATTCGGATTGAGCTAAATTAAATTGACAGAGATGTCTACCTGAAGGTTTTACAGTCTGATTAAGCCATCCAGATTAATTGGTGAAAGATGTAAAATGTAAACAGATCAAATTCTTAGGTACCAAACTGATACAAAAAAGTAATCTTAAAAGTCTTTTAGTCTTTTTAATAATATTTGTATTACATCTCAGATTTTCAGTGTGGTCTTTGGATCCCACTGTGTATATACACCCGCTTTCTCAAACTCTGCTTTGTATCCAGGGATTTATATGTGTGATTCAGTAATTCAACGAAATGCATGTGTGTCACCTATTGTGTACGTATATGCATGATGTTGTATCTGTATATGAGCGTCTGCTCTGTATGGGATACTCATTAGATGCTCTGAATGTGGAATTGTCTGTGGGTGTATGAAGCGGGATTTGCTTGCCTAAATCAGTGCAGGATTCATTTCATGCGCTTGGCATGAAACATATAGGTTCTGCCATTGTTGTGTCTATAAACACCTCTTATATGAGCCTTACTGATTGCTTCCTACTTGCAAATCCCCCAATGAGGGCGAGCAGACCTCTTGTGTATTTAGAAAATTTATAAAGAAGGTCTTTTCATGCATAAAGCCCACATAAACACATGGCATATCATGTATATCACATCTTTTCCAGCTATTGAACACTCACATCTGTGTGTCTAACACTTAAGCTCCGACCCAAAACCTTGTGAGGCGCCTCGCTGTCTGCTGACTGATATAGACCCTTGTAATGACTGATTTGGAATGGTCTACATATTCACAAATGTACAAAAAAAAAAAGACTTTACAATTGATTTTAATAAACTGAGAATGACACAATCTTTTAATAAAACAAGAAGCTAATTTTATGAACTATAAAAAAGATTTTTCTCACTATCTTTGATTTTTTTTTTATGCAGTTTGTCGCAGTACATTCTGGGATTTCCTTCTCTGTAAATAATAAATGTGGTGCCACCTTAGAATTTAGGCGAAATAAGGTATCTTAGGAAGCAGAAATATTGGAGCCCACCAACTATGCTTTAAAATGCTGCCTACGGAAGCAGCTGACTAGTTTTTGGAACTGAGCTTATATCTGTTCTTAAATTCTTTGTGTGTGTGCATGAAGGGAGGTAGTGAAAAATTGAGGCCTTGGCTCATGCTCTGCCGCAGTTTTCAGTATTTCCCTCACGACTGTCTTGTTTTGTATTCACTTCTTGTTATTTGAACCGTTACATTCTGCCTGCGCAGGGGTTTTGAAACACAGAGATAGGTTTCAGGGAGGGATGGAGGATACTGCCAGGTCAAAGAATCCTCTCTACATGAAGCAAAGTGTCTTTTCTGCTGCACCTGGTCCCCGTGTACTGAATCATGCTTGAGTTTAAACATATACACATATTACAGGGGAGGGCAAATGGCCCCAAACAATCAAAGATGAATTTTGATAGGTGAACAATGGAGTTTCATGCTTATGGAGTAAGTGGGTAAGCATGAGGAACCCTTTCTAGCCCTTTCCAGAGACCTATTACCTTAAAAAAAAACCTAAAGTGAAAAGTGTGAATTAATCTTTTTTTTTTCCTGACTTATAAGATCATGTGAAAAGCCTTGTGAAAAAGATGTACACTTCAGCATACTTTTATAAAAAGCATATATTACATAAGTAAAATACATCAAAAGAATATACTTAAGTACAAACTAAATGTAATTTATTTGGCCACTTATTTGTATATGAATTGAAATTAAATGAAAATAGTTTAATTGCACTTTATTAAATGCAATTAGTTGAACGTAAGAATGCTGTTTGACCCACTTAAGTAGGACTTTAAATAATTTCATAATTACTTCTATTGCCTTTAAAAGTATATTAAAGTGTACCTCTGAATGTACTGACATGGATATATGGTAAATTATAATATAATTTAATTTCTATTTAAACGTGTATGTCATGTATTTACAGTCATTGCCAAAAGATTTGGAAGTGACAAATTTTGTTTTGCAAAGTTTGCTGCTTCAGTATTTGTTGATTATTTTTCCACACTAGTACTCATTCACACTTTCACATGTGCTGCTGATATGATTAGTCAATTAATGTTAGCTGGTCATTTTGTGTCAGGATCAAAAAACAGTGAATTTTTTTAGCCAATGAAGCTTTTAGCAATTATATAAAATGCATCTGATCACTCTACACAATAATCTAGAAACAATGTGAATGAACACCACAACAGCTTAAAATACTAAAGCGCTAACTGTAACTGTGTTTGATAATTTTTACATTTGCAGGTAATATATTAAATATTTTGTTGAATTATATTAAACATACTAAATTGCAATTTCATCAATACAAATGTGTAAATAAAAAATATGTACAGTCATGGCCAAAAGTTTTGGCAGTGACATAAATTTTGTGTTTTGCAAATTTTGCAGCTTAATCAACACATCAAAATAGGGGTAGGATGACTAAGGATTACTAAATAGCATTAAAATATTATTTCAAATGTAATTTAAAGTAAAACATTTAATTTGACATTATTACAAAGTTTTTATTACATGATTTTAAAATTGTACTTAATTGTGTTATAACACAAAGCAAACATAATCATGAAAGTGTGCTTTTAAGCACACTTCAGTGGCCTTTAATTTGATATGATATGATATTATTATATTATTACATATGATATTATCTCCACATACAGTTTTTAAAAATATACCTTTAAGATTTGAAGTACTACAAATGCACTTTCAATACAATAACACACACTTCTTTTTCACTGGGGCACCAGCTCAGAAACTACTGTCTGTGAAAATAATGGCCATTTTCCACATATAATCTCAAACAATAATCATATATATTTAATGTGTCTCTTGAAATAGAAGTGCTGGAATTCCTATACAGTGCTAATGTCTGATAAAATCCATATAGTTGCTTAACGGTAATGTAAATGTTGTAAGTGGTTGGCAATTCAGCAGAACAAAGGGGTTTTAGAAGAAATCTCATTCAGAGTTTTCATATTGATAACTGATTGAACTGGGCCTAGATTGGATGTGCTGACCTTTATTTTGGAGATGAAAGCACTGCACTCTCATTGGTAGCAGAAATTTTCATCGAATAGGCAAAACATTATTAATAAACAAACACACAAGGGTTATGTGCATGGTATTTTGCGATTGACAGGCATTCCAATTCTGTGTGGCCACAGATGTCATGTGGGCCTGGCGATAAAGTATAAACCTATCAAAACTTATTAAAGTCAGCCTACTCTGAGCTCTAAGGTTGTTAACACTAGAACCGCCACGGGGTAAATTTTACCTGTGGCTGTTTTTAAAACGTACATAAAGATTTTTAATAAGACATTCAAGTCTCCCAGTCACTGACTTTTACTAAAATTGTGTGATTTACAATCCCCTGTTGTTAAAAACTGTTTAGATAAAACCAGATCAAAAAACGGGGCATTTATACCTATAAGCGCCAGCTTTAGTCAAATGTACCTGCTATATAATGCCTGTATGTTCGTGCTGTCATTTTCGTGCCGCTTATGCTTTAACATTGTACATTGCTTGGCAAGCCCACTGAATTAGCGGTTATCAGTTTCATAAATAAAGACAATGCATAAAAAAGCCTTGAACATAAAACAACAGGACAAAAATATAGTTGATGACTAGACATAATAATTTCATGACTCTAGACACTTCTTTGTGAAGACAGTAGCATAATATAGGGAAATAATATGTTCTTTAGCCATTCAAAAACAGCTGTCATTTGCGTGGGTAAAATTTACCCGCTGGCACTTTTAGGTATACAGCGACCCCTGGCGGTTCTAGTGTTAAGCTATGGTATATGTATCTGTAGGACCCAAACTTCAGTGTGATTTCCATATCATTTTCAAAATCCAACAATGTTTGCAGAATTTTGCAGGCTGAATTTTAGAACTTTTTTTTGTTTTCTGTTTTTTGTTGTTTTTTGCTTCCAATGAAATGTTGTGATTTATGGCTTAAACTATTCATTAAAAAGCCTATGAAGAAAAGAATGCGGAAAAATAATTCCAGAACCAAGGCTGCTGAAAAAGTGGGCGGTAATTGTTGTGACCTACTGGTTCGACAAGTTAAATTACATTTAAAATAGACTGAGGTGCAATCTCATTTCTCAAACTTTATGACCCTAGGTGGCAGAGAGGAAGAACTTCTTACCATTGAAAGTGGAATGATGGCTTGGATGTCCTTCTGCACAACCGTCAGCTCTGTGACCACCTTCTCTGCATCCGAGGCTGGATTCTGGCCCCTGTAATCAATATTCCAGTTGATTCTTCTGGTGACTGATTGACTGGTGAAGTTCTCCATCTCAAAGTCTAGCTGCATAATTTCGATGCTGGCAGCCATGTCCCTGAAGAGACACAACAAGATCATATGACAGTGAGTGCACTAAATTGATCAATAATAAGGCTGTAAAAAAAATAAAAAATACTGGCTATCCACCAGATTTAGCCATTAAGCTCATTTAGAAGAGTCTAATTAGGGTCAGGTATGTATTTAAAGCTTAAATGGTTAATATGCTGGTCATCAACAAAAACAGATGTTCTGTCATGTATTAGGTATTATATATTGAATCATTCAGCAAATGAATCAATCAGAGAGAGCCCATCTGTTGTTTGGGACTGGATTACAGGGGCTAAAAATGGATTTACAAATTACAAATCTAACGAAACAAACACAAAGAGAGCATGTGCGTATATACATGACCAAAATAGGTCAACATGCTTGAAGTTTTACTTCTTTACTTACCAAATAAGGTGACTCAGATATTTTGTAGGCAATTATATGGATGAAAAGTGATGATAAATGCACTTTTCATTAGAGAAAATATGGAGTCATGTGACATGTGCACATGTCCTGAAAGTGGAAACGAAATGGACCCCTGTGGTCATGTGACCACTTTTTTGTGTGTGCATTTTTATTGATTAGAATTCGAGTTCTCCTCCTCCTCAACTAAATGGGTATATATGACTACTCTACTGAGAGAAGAAGACTGAACGAGTTCAGCGCGCTCTTGGAGAGCTCTTCGTGTTGGCGGTACGGCGCTTCAGCGGTGGTGGTTTCCTGTGTCGAGTCGGTTGCACACATCAGGCTGCACTACCCCCTGTTTGTAGGCGATTGCAGGCGACCATCTCCCCTGTGCGCCTCAGCACGCTAAAATAGCTATTTCCCTAAAAGAGCAATTACGGGTGCGTCTTTTTAAAGACGACATTGCGTGGCACACTTGACGTTACGTCTTTGTAAAGATGATGTGGGTCTTGCTATAGGCAACGTATCACCCGGGCGTTTCTGGATGCGGTCGTTATGTAAGACCTAAGTGGATCCCATATGTGTAAAGTCCACGGTATAGCCTCGAGCCCGTGTTTCCCCGGCAGACTTCTGCCACTCCAAGAGGGTTACAATCACCTCCAATCTTCCATACACACCTAAGGGATGTTCATGTGTGTATTTGCTTCTGAAACCTCCTTCGGGAAGGATGGCGCTTCCGCAACGTCCCGGTCCCAAGCAGCAGTAGCTGGTCCTCTTGTGGTAAGCCCTGCCCTGCGCCAAAAAGTAGGGGCGCAGGAGGCTCCCACAGGACACTGGAAGTGGCAGTATCTGTGGCCTTTTGGTAGGGATCCCAATTTGTCGGTCATCCGACGTGACGTCCTGAATATGCGCTGCATCTGCTGCCTACTTATACTCACGCTGTGATCAGCGGCAGCTGGATGCAATAATCGCATGCCAATGTGCATTGGCTCGTTTAGTTTACACTCGAAGTGGATTGGTCTCTCTAAGCGAGATCCCAATTCGTCGGTCATCCGACGTGACGTCTCCGTTCCCTCCTTCAGGGAACGAGGGTTACCATACGTAACCGAGACGTTTTTACTGCATTTTCACAGCTTTTTGAAGTGCATAATTTCTGTGGCCACCAAATCTGTTTTCAAAAAGATTTTCCTGAACCCTCTCTTTGTCTTCCATTTTTGGTGAAACAGGACGTCCTGCCCCAGACTTAATTGGTTGAGGCTATCAATATTGGTGTGTTGGGCTATTTAAACAAACTGAGCAATGTTTTGTTGCTCTGCTGAGAAGTGTTTTTACTTCTCGGGGAAATCAACCTATAAATGGCTTACTTATAGGTTTCTCTGCTTATTAAGCTAGGATAGGGAAAAGTACTGCAATAAAATGTATTATTATTATTACTGTAACAGGAAAAAATACACATCACCTTTAATAAAAAGCAATATAAACAAAAATGCTGCACATTCACATAACAATAATCTTTGATTTCAAGTGCATTGGTGAAATTAACACAAACATAGTCATAAAAACAGCTGAGCACAACAGTTCAGTAGCATACTGGAATTAAATTGGCGACACGGAAAAAATACGGCAACTTTGCCTGGCAGAAAGTTTCTTCAGAGCCTTTGCAGGAAACCTTAATGGATAGTGACAGGCTAAATGAGTTCTGTCTGTTGATCTCATGCACACTCATCAAGGATTATTTCCTTTATCTGAGACTCCTGTTCTACAGATAGATGTGTTGATAGCAGCTGACAACCACGCTGAGAGAGACCAGCCAAAAAATGTATTCCCTTGCTGGGAGTGTGTGCGCCTGTGGAAAAATGCTGCAGGGTTATCAAAATGTTATCTGTGGGGGGTAATTAATGTATCAGAGCTGCAAAATCAACAACTTCTTATGGGGAATAAGATACTTATTATAGCTGTATATATGTCATGAAACTAGACTAAATAATTTAAACATTGAAATGTAAAAGTTAATTTAAATATATATTTCCCTATAGTGTCCCTAAAACATATTAAGATACTTTATAAGCCACATTTAAGATGTAGGAATGTAACTGAATTGCATAACAAAATGTTAAAAAAGGGACATCTTGAAACAAATGATCCAACCTCTTTTCACTACTAACTTCTCTTGTAAACAAGTCCCAAAGAAATGTTAAGTGAATGCATGAAGTTCCCCTTAGATGTACACTACCATTCAAAAAAAAAAAAAAGGCAAGGATGCATTAAATTGATAAAAAATCACAGTAAAATAATTTATAATATAACAAACGTATTTAAATTATCATAGATTTCAAATAAATGCTGTTTTCATCCAAGGATTCTGAAAAAAAAGCATCATGTTTCCATGAAAATATCAGGCAGCATAAATGATTTCAACATTGATAATAATAAGTAATGTTTCTTAAGCACCATATCAGCATATGAGAATGATCATGTGACATGGGACTGGACTGGAGTAACAGCTGATATATTAAATTATTTCTTTAAAACTGTTAATATTTTACAATATTACCGTTTGTACTGTATTTTTGATAAATGCACACTTGCTGAGCATAAAACACTTTAAATGAATTCAAAAATATTTTCTGGTTGAAACTACATTAACACAATCAAAGTATTTTTTCTCGTCATTTTTAACAGTATATTTGATTTTGTAATTAAAAAACCTAACAAACCTCTTTTAATGAAAATGCCATACTTGCGATGTGTGCTTGTTTTATATCTTCTTATGTAATACCATACCATTCATATATTTTTAAGTGCAGCTATGTTTTTAAGGTCACTGCAAAGCATTTTCACATGCCGTCTGCATTCTCTGCTAGAAAACAAATGCTGTATTTGGTTTAGTATTCTAACCAAGGGCGGCGCCAGAGAATTTTGAACGCAGGTGCTGAGGGGGTGCTAGATCATTGACAGGGGGAGCTGGGCAATTAATAGTAAATATGACCAAAAGATGATGTTGTTGTTATTATTATTATTATTATTATTAATATGAATAATAAAATAAATCGCACACTCGATTTTGTAACATTTTATTAAAGGGTTACTCCACCCCAAAATGAAAATTTTGTCATTAATCACTTACCCTCATGTCGTTCCAAACCCGTAAAAGCTTCAGTGTTATTTACTTGGCAGTCAATTGGGACAGTCACAAGCCTCCCAGTTTTCATCCAAAATATCTTAAATTGTGTTCCGAAGACGAACGAAGTTTTTACAGGTTTGGAACGACATGGGGGTAAGTGATTAATGACAAAATTTTCATTTTGGGGTGGAGTAACCCTCTAAGAGTAGGCTATCACAAACATTTTAAACGAAGCTTTTACGGGTTTGAAACGACATGGGGGTAAGTGATTAATGACTAAATTTTCATTTTGGGGTGGAGTAACCCTTTAAATTATTATTTGTCTCATCTTACAATTTTTCGTTTTATGAAATTAAATGATTAATTAAATTAAATTATCGTGCTTACTGCATGACATGGAGGCGCCCGCGCAATCCCTTACATTTTTTTCCTGCCGAAATAACTTAGAATATGCTACTCCGTCATTTTTGGTCATACAGATAAGAGAAATGTCTACTATTGAACGAACCAATAAAAAATAATTAAAAATATTCTCTAATTATGTAGTCCGTAGTAAAAGGTGCATTTCTCTCTAGGCTATTAAAGGCACGTCCATGTGGATCTTTGCAGCCGACACTGACTGAGAAAGCACTAGTTTATGTAAGGGATAATGTACATCCAGGAACCCCTTCAGGCTGATACAAGACCTGATCACCCTGTCGGAGTTTATTCTGAGATAACAACCGGCTGGATGTACATTATCCCGCTTATTACACGGCTAAAAAATTTGTTTTTACCATATATGTTGAAATTATTGCTGAAGTCTTCCATTGTAACAGGCGGTGGTTAAGTGTTTTCAGTCACAAGATGGCGCCAGACAGTCAACGATAGTGTAGTGACTCGTTAAGCATATAAGTAGTACCGGTCAAGATAACTCGTAGTACCCGGATGAGCGGTGTGTTATTCAATTTGGCGGTTGTTATCTGGGATTATTACACGGCTCTGTGCAATACTTGATTCTGAATGGTCAATCACGCCATCCAGCGGTATGTTATTCCCAGATAACAACCGCCAAATTGAATAACACACCGCTCATCTGGGTACTACGAGTTATCTTGATCACCCTGTCAGGGTTTATTCTGAGATAACAACCGGCTGGATGTACATTATCCCTTACATAACATACCGCTGGATGGCGCGATTGACCAATCAGAATCAACTATTCCACAGAGCCATGTAATAATAATAAATAATTAAAATGTCTTCTTTTCCCCGGGCACATTATATAAACATTACTTTTGCCGGTGCTTTGTGGCAAGCTTTATGCGCGCGCTTGAGCACGGAATAGGCTATATGCCTAAAGGATGGTTTAGCAGGTTATTATATTAATCAATTTAATATAAACATGCGACTAGTTGACTACAAAAATCTTTAGTCGGGGGCAGACCTACTAGGCACACTCAAAAAAATTATATGTTGGCCTTACATAACTTTTTTATGTCAACAGGTTCCACGTAACTGAGTTAGGTTGCATTTAAGTAACAATATTGATTTTAGTGAACTTAAGTTAATTACATAAAGTTAATACAATGTTGTTTAGTTGAATCAACTTAACATTCTTGACTTCGTTTTAATCTATTAAGTTAATCAAGTTCAATTATTCTAAAATTAATATGGTCACATTCAATCAAAACAAATAATACAGTTTCATCGAGTTTATTCAATAAATACATTCAACATTTTTTTTTTACAACTTTAAAAAAAATTTCCAAGAAGAATAATTTGTACAAAATCTAAAGACTGCCTTCACTTTTTTAATCAGTTATCTTATCTTACTACAAGAAAAGTGTAAAAAAAGCATACTAATAAAAAATAAAAGCATGGATTTTAGGTAGGATTTACAAAATAGTCTTCTTCTGTAATGAAAATGCATCATTATTCAAAGCAAGACCAACGCTGAAAGGAATGTAACATGTTCAGTACCGAAAAACAAATGTACTGCAACAGCCAACAGTACAACATTATTCGTAAAGGTCTGTAGCATCTGTATGATGACATAGATTCCCAGCGTGGTGTTGTGCGTTGAGGTTAGGGCTTCAACACGTTCAACATTCTAAAAATGTCAAGTACAAAAAGAAACAATTACCAACAGATCAAGGGTCAAAGAAGTTGGTTTTGGAGAAACATACACTAGGTTTTAATTAAAAAGGTAAATAACTTACCATGTACTCCTTCACAAGGTTTGAGGGGTCTTCCTTCAGGCAGACAGCCAGGGCTTTCAGGATGCATTCACATTTTTTGCCGATGGAGACATTCTGAATATGTAAAATTAACAGCATTAGTTAGCACTTGACTTTTTAGATTTGTTGCTGTACATCTAACATTTTAAGTAGTATTATACAGATCATCCCACTGTGTTGTTTCTACAAAATGTTCAATCCTGGGAACCAGTACAAGAAAACCCAACAAATGTTCCTAAATCAGAAACTTTGCTATGGGAAAGATACACAGTAATCTTGGATGTCAGAGTTGTTCCAATTGTAGGTGCAAAAACACAACTCTGCTGCTGAGAAATTTGATAAAGCTACAAACAAGCCCTGAAATTAAAACAGTATGAATTATGCACATATGAACATTTTAGCTTATGCTGTATATACTCCAGGCTTTAAAGGGATAATTCACCAAAAGAAAATCATTATCAGTTGTTTTATCTTTTAGACTCCCTTACATAAAATGCAAAATTTGGTTAGTTTGTCTTGCTCATTTCTGATGATAAAATGACAGTCAAGGGTGAGTTTCTCTTCTGAAGCTTCAAAAGCATAAAAAAATTACATGTTACAAGATTCAGAACAGGAATTCACCATTGACTTTTATTGTCTACACACAAAAAAAAAATGAGCAGGACAAATTGGCCAAAATGCATAATTTTAGTTCAGGCAACAACAACAACAAAAAAAAAGATGTAAGAGGTTCAACGACATGAGGCTGAGTAAATGATGACCGAATTTTCATCTTTGGGTGAAATATTATTTTAACCTATTATGAATTATTGTCAGATTTAAAATGACAGTGAATTTAGATAACATACCTGAGCCATAACTGACAGGATGTTTGTGATCTTCTGTGCTGCTGCTGCTCCTTTCTTTGGTTTGAGAAATGATCAAGCTGACCCATATATTTGGAGACCAAAGGGATTGTTGTAATCCAACTGAATTTCACCGATACCTAATACAGTTTTAAAAGGACAAATCAGGTTGGCTGCTGATAAATTTGGGACAAACCTTAAAATAATATTATACACCAACAATCATAGTATTCCTTTACCAGCACTTACAGATTACATACAAAATTATTACAAATGAACACAAATCTGAATTACATCTAAACTTCAATACATAATTTAGAATTACAAAAATATCCAAGTAATTCATCACAGCTGACATTACAAAGACTTACCTCTTGCTCTATAAAGAGTGCTGGATTTGATCTGGATGTGTGAGAGGAACCACAATCTCTGCACAGCCACATGTAGGACTATAAAACTCTGTGAGGTTGGAAAAAAAGGTGTGAGTCACCTAATAATAATAATAATATAAAACACTGCCAGTGCCAACTGCTAAACTTTAGTATGTGTTGAATGACCTAACAAACAAGCTTATTTAAGTGTCTTCGTGAAAATCCCATACAAAACATGAGATTATGCGCGATTAACCATTCTAATAAGATGACAGCCTCAATATATATGCATAAAAAGTAAAATATCTCACCTGTGTTTCCACATAAAGAAAACATTCCTCGTTTGGCACTGTGATCTTCGTCTGATTCAAAAATGGCGCCGATCGCTGAAGAGTGATCTTTGAATGAATGTGCTGTCCATCTGCGCATGTGCAGATATTACTCCACCTGCTGACTAAAGTGCGGTACTGCAGAAGCAACTCAACTCCATTTCATTCACTTTACTTAAGTGAACTGTGTAAATGTGAAATATTACTTTTTCTAATTTGGTCAACACAACTCTTTTAATTGTAATACACAAACGTAAGGGAATTCTTTAATTTAAACGTAGTTACATTCTTTGGACCAACAGCAGCCACATTTCATTTTTTTGAGTGCACATGTAACCGATTCATTTTTAAAATAAAATGCTATGACGTTACAAAAAGTACGACTGCAAATCACGTCACGTTGAATGCGTTATGAGTCAAATGCTTTTATTTTATTTCATTTTTGGGGGTGCTTTGCTCTTTCTTGGGGGTGCTGAAGCACCTGCTAGCCCCTCCCTAGCGCCGCCCATGATTCTAGTGTACACTATACTACACTAGTGGCCAACTCTATGGTCTGCAATGCCCCTTTGTTAGGAGATACTGTTTTGTCACTAATTGTTGCTTAGATAATTTGCAATTGATGTGGCCAATTAAAACTACAAAGCCATTAAGTGTGACTTTCCCACTAAAAGTTTAATTACTTTTCCTTTTGTTTAGACAGAAATATTTCAAGGCGAATGGGAATCAATCTTGATGTCCATTCATTGGACACTGCATTAACAAAGTTAATATCGCCTTAATTATTTAGCCATTGCTGAGAATTGATTGTCCAGCACAACAGGAGAGGAGGCCAGGGAAGAGTTTTGCTAACAATCAGTCATTAAAGCACTGCTAGAACAGGAGCCAGCTTTCAAAACGCCCTGCATTTAGAGTCATTTTAGGCTCGCTCAATTGTGGAGTGCAGAAACACAAAGAGAGAAAGAATTGGCACGTGTGTGCCAGCAACTGAATCTCTAATTGAAAATACACTAATGGAATGATGAGGCTTGTCTTATACTGACAAATAATGCTGGCTTTGCCTCCAAGGCCAGCCTTAAACCACATGCGCAACGTTTGCTCCTAGCAGTGGACTCACTCATTAAAACCGTTAGAAAAGATAGATGGTGAAAGAATATGGGCGGCGTATTCAAAGAAATTTGCAAGTCTAAGAAGAGAACTGCAGTCTGTGGACAGAACGAGCTGGGTTAATGGAAAATCTATACAAGGAAACGGCGTCGACTTGCTAAAAAGTATTCATCTTCTTAGACAACAAGCTCATGCAGGCATTATTGCGTTACAATACAAAAAGCCCCCAGCCACATCTAGACATATATTCTCCAAAACAAAGAGATGAGTTCAACTGTGAAATAGGCTCAAAACAAGCAGTGCATTTTTGTTAGTTGTGGTGAAAAGTGCAAAGCTGTTTAAACTCGCATTAAAAATAACAAGCAACACCTCTCTATAGTCTGGTTTTACATTGGCGCTTGACAACATGTCAGAGGCTGTGGAAATGTGCTGCACAAATAAACTGTGATAAGTTTTACGGCAAAATGTTCAAACTTTGTAATTTAAATTCCATATAAAAGGAATAATTTCGTGTGAGTGTCAGACAGTACAATAAATTGGTTGGGAGGTGAGAGACGTGTTTTGTACATTGCAATATATATATAAAAAATAATGATAATAAATTTTTGTAAGCACACTGTAGCAAAGTGAATGTTTTTCATGTTTGCATTAATACAGAAATTAATGTAACATTATTGTATTGAAAGCATCTAAAATGTAAAATATCTGTATAATAAAATTACAATGCAAATATTTAAAATATAATGGATCCTTAAAAAATGTATCATCGTTTCTAGAAAGAATATTAAGCAGCACAACTGCTTTTTAGCATTAATAATAATAGGAAATGCTTCTTGAGCAGCAAAACAGCATTTTAAAATGATTTTTGAAGGATAATGTGACATTGAAGACTGGAGTAATGACTGTTGAAAATTCTGTATTACCACCACAGGGATAATGAATTACGTATGTTTATTAAGTTGTTATTTTAAATTGTAATAATATTTCATAATTTTAGTGGTTTTATTTTTATCAAATAAATACAGCCTTGGTGAGCATTAAAAAATATTTGGATAGTAATCTGTTGATCACAAGGTTATTTTTGTAAGAGCTGGTTCATATGTAAGCCAGTGCTAGCATATAACAACTATATTTATGTAACAAACCGTATATCACCGTTAAACCATTAGAATAGATTTCCTATTCTTTTATTGCGCTTAAATGAAGATGGCTTGAAATAGCTTTAGTATGCTACATCACATTGCTTTTTTACAGTTTAAAGGCTATGGATATTAAATCAAACAACAGACATTGTGTATTTACCATACGAGATTTTGGTCTGACGAAATTCTGTATTACCACCACAGGGATAATGAATTACGTATGTTTATTAAGTTGTTATTTTAAATTGTAATAATATTTCATAATTTTAGTGGTTTTATTTTTATCAAATAAATACAGCCTTGGTGAGCATTAAAAAATATTTGGATAGTAATCTGTTGATCACAAGGTTATTTTTGTAAGAGCTGGTTCATATGTAAGCCAGTGCTAGCATATAACAACTATATTTATGTAACAAACCGTATATCACCGTTAAACCATTAGAATAGATTTCCTATTCTTTTATTGCGCTTAAATGAAGATGGCTTGAAATAGCTTTAGTATGCTACATCGCATTGCTTTTTTACAGTTTAAAGGCTATGGATATTAAATCAAACAACAGACATTGTGTATTTACCATAAGAGATTTTGGTCTGACGATCATTAATAAAATAAAAAAATCAGATACATTAATAACATTTTTGACAACCTTCTCTCTACTGTAGTATTATATATTGTTTTTTGCTGGGCTGAATAGTCTTAATTGGCAGTGTATTTTTTATTTTTTTTTAAACTAGCCTTAAGCTCCATCCTGATGAAACATGCATACTGTGGCAGCTTTTTAGAATACACTGCATGCCAGGAAAGGCAGGAGGTATTCCTGCAAAAGTATAGTTTTCCTGGTAGCATGTACTCAGCTGAATTGTAGGGTTGCAGGTGAGTGACATGGACTTTTCACATGTCTGACACAAAAAGAAAATTATATGCCAGGGTCTACTTGATACAGAAGAAAAAAAAAGTACAGAGGTTAAGAGGCTTAGAAACATGAACAAAACAGCATGATGTTTAATTCAAATGACTTTGCTGATAATCTCGATGTCGACTCTCAATCACCATGTCTTGACCTACCTGACAAAAGGCAAATAACACTTGACTCTACTGGCTAGATGAATCACTCAATGTTCCTGATGATGGAATGTAAGATAAGAAGCTTCTATAGACTAGAGTTCTGTAGATTTCTAGAAATGTGCATCTATTTCTAGTTCAATTGTTCGTGTATACAAAAAAAAAAAAAAAAAAAAAGTTGTTATTAAAAAAAAAAAAAAAAAAAAAAAAAAATCAGATAATCTCGCGCTCTCTGTCTCTCACTCTCTAAAGTCATAAATCAGTTAGAATTATAATTTAGAATCAATCCTACAGAAAACTAATAGGGTGAAATAAGAAGCCCCTACGAAGAAAACATTATCCTAATAGATACATTCGACATTTTTATTCTTTCACATTTTCGTTATTTGTTTAGGATGACTTTATTTGATTCCTATAGGATTAATTCCAAATTACGGTTTACAAAAGGAATTTTATGTTTCTTTTTTGAATTGTGACTTTGAATAGTGATCTTTTAATGTGCTGCTTCTGTCGTAAAGCCCTGCAATAATAATTTAGCATGAAATAATACACAGGAAGTGCTAATTAATATGAGTACAAACGTTTCATTGAATGTAAGCCTCTCCAATTAGACAGTAACATCCTTAAACAAAGGTCTTAACTGAACAGACGGCATTCTGTTTTAGTTGAATGTTATTCGGATTAACTAGCAGATGTCTGAGTGGGTGAATGTTATGAATCAAACATGAAAGTTTAGGTTCTCTTTTTGTTGCTGATCTGCAACCAGATTGCCATTCACTACACACTGCTTAGTTTGCCACTGTTCCTAGATCAGTGTACAAAAAGCGGGGAAGCTGACTTACTCAGGGACTCCTTTGATCTTGCTGGCTTCCACGGTTGCAATGGAGTGTTTGGCTCCGGACTGCACATCCCATTCAACCTTCCACTGGTTACTCCTCGACTTAGTGCTAAGGAGGTTCACCCCTTTCTTTGCTTTCACCCTGTAAAAAGAGACATAGTGGGTTTTAAAGAAATATATATGGCTGGAGTCAAACAAGAAAGTTTTATTTGAGTATTCAGAAGGTGATACTGGAATATTGGACATTGCAATACTTAAAGACACTGTTTTAGTGGTAACACTTTATTTTTTAGGACCAATTTACATTATTAACTAGTTGCTTATTGGCATGCATATTACTAGCATATTGGCTGTTTATTAGTACTTATAAAGCATATATTAATGCCTTATTCTGCATGACCATATTTTAGATCCCTTAAACCTGCCCCATATACCTAAACTTAACAAGTACCTTACTAACTATTAATAAGTAGCAAATTAGGAGTTTATTGAGGGAAAACAAAGTTTTGTTTATTTGTTTTTATGGGTGGCAAAACTTTGCCTTTTTTATTTAGCCTGCATGTCATTGGTCAACTGCATGCAAAAATCGGACCAAATTTTCATGGTGAACCTTTATGTTGGTGTGAATTAAGTTTTTCATTTTGCTACTGAAAAGAGCAAGATACAAAAACTAAAATGTGAATGGACTCATCTTGCAAAAACAAAACAAAACAACACAAAACAAACACCAAACAATCAACAAAAAACAAAACACAAAACTAAGCAAAAAACAAACAAACAAGATAATATAAATAAGATAAAATAACAAATAAAATAAAGATAAACCATGGTTAGTACTTGCAGAATTGGTTAATGTTAAATAAACCCACTCTCCTTTAGAAAATTATTTATAGAAGGACTATAAATCTGTGCTGCAAAACAAATCTATTTCCCATAGATAACACACATGGCTTCTGCATCTTCATTATGACCTCTGAGACCGTACATCTAAAAAACAAAAAAACATCTTATGTGCATCAATTTATGCACACTAAAGCTCATACTCATCATCCATTTCCCCTCTGTCCATTAAAATTAAAAAACATCAGCCTTTTCTCTGATCCGAAACCAGATTTTGATGATAAAATCCCTGTGGAACACCCACCCGCTCTCTCACAGAAGCCATAACTTCAAACAGCACAGTCGTGCTGGGTTTCCAGCAGCTTATGCTTCAATAGATGGAAACTACTGCTGTTCTGTGAGCATACATGTACTGCTTAACACCTTGAACAGGTGCAGTGACACAAGGCATGGTAAATCATGCATGTTTTATCCTCCGGATTACTGACCACTATCTGCGTTCCTACTCTCTGATATCTACCAGTGAAAATTAACTGCTCTGAGGTCTGGCTGCACCAAAGAGCCATGCAGCTGCAATGCAGCCATGCTATACAGAAATCCTACAGCACACATGCAAGACGTGAGGTGATGAATAGACAAGATGAGAAAGAAAAAACGTGAGACCAGAAAAATGGAGAGAGAATTTAGAAACCATTAAAATAGGGAGATTGCGATTTCAGCAGTTTTAATTAGTTCTCTATCAAATTACAAAAAAGTTTAGAATTATATCAAGATGTTTCTCACACATTATTAATCCTGCTGGTGAAGGTGGATGAGCCAAATTTGAAGCAGCTGTACATATACACAATTGTGACTGCACATATAGAATTTAATTCTATATTAATGCCTTATTATATTTTATACATTTTTGGACATTGTAAATAAAGATTATTGGCATTTTACAAGAAAACACTATTTCAGCTTCAAAATTTCACATTTAGTTAAATGTGTCACTTGCAGTTTCTTTGTAATTATTTGTGAAATATAAGCAATTTCTGAATGAATGAATTTTTTTTCTGTGCATTGAGTTGCTACAAACAATTAGAATGTTAAACAGCCTAAGCTAATTAATTAATATAGTTAATGAGGCTTATTCGCTATATCACTTGGCGAAATAATTGTTTACTGTGATTATTATTTTTAATTAATGTCATTATTTGAACACTGGTGTGTTTTATCATGTTGCTACTGTTTAATATCAACAGGCTGTGCTGTAGTGCCTAAAGGCCCCGATATACTTCAAACGAAGTTCGTTTTCGTTCTTCGTTTGGGGGCAAAAAGAAGTTCAAAAAGGCTGAGTGACGGTATACTGTTTCCGAACTTTCCAACACCCCCGCGCCGCTGGAGGCGGGGTGTAGATTAATGTAAACATACATGTGTCGCGATGCTCGCGCGTATCCCCTAAACACAACATCGATGAAATGAAGAAGTGTAGGCAATCTAGGTGTGAGACGGGCCCCAATGGTCAGAATATTTTAGACAAAAGAATAATGATTAGCAGCAGTTCAGAGTCAAGTATCATGTTTGCAATACAAAAGAACCATTCCATTTCCATAATCAGCCCTTTATGGGAAGTGTGAATGTCTCATAGTCTGAAAACTTTAGCATGATGTTAGTTACTTTATTTTATTAGTGTTCATTTATTTTATTAAACTGGATAAATTGTTACACCTTTTTATATTTTATGTGGTGTCATGATTTACTTATGATAAAAACAAAGGTTTATTATTGTATGTTCGTTTGGCATTTCATTTATTGTATACCCTTTAAATTTGTTTATTGAAAGAACAACAACAGCAGCAGCAGTATGGTGTAACATTTATTTGAAACACATGTATTTGGTACTTGCTACCTTATATCTTTACTCTTTCCTTTCATGGCTTTGGAAAACTTGTCTCGGATTTTTCTCTATGTCGCTTTTTGCATAACTCTGGGTCGTCGACACCAAGCTTCGTTCATTTATTTTATTAAACTGGATAAATTGTTACACCTTTTTATATTTTATGTGGTGTCATGATTTACTTATGATAAAAACAAAGGTTTATTATTGTATGTTCGTTTGGCATTTCATTTATTGTATACCCTTTAAATTTGTTTATTGAAAGAACAACAACAGCAGCAGCAGTATGGTGTAACATTTATTTGAAACACATGTATTTGGTACTTGCTACCTTATATCTTTACTCTTTCCTTTCATTCTTTTCATGGCTTTGGAAAATTTGTCTCAGATGTTTCTCTGCGTCGCTTTTTGCATAACACCGGGTCGTCGACACCAAGCTTCGTTGCAATTTCTTTCTAGGAATTAAATGCTTTCTCTGAATCTTTAAAGTCTCTCCGCGAGCGATAGTACAGGTGCGGATATATTTGTGCCAGCTGAGCTATTCGACACTCCAGTGTGTTCATGTTGCTAGTGACTATAGGAGATGTTGTTCTCCTGTCGGACCTCCGTGGAATGAGAAACGAACGGGGAAAAAAAAATTGCATGTCAAAGAAGGTGGAGTTTCAGAACACACCCACCGATTGCGTAACTGCCACGGACCAATGGAAGCTCAAAGGTATTTAGGAGCCAAAACGAACTCCCCCAGAAAGTTCGCTTTGGTCAGTTCGTTCTTCGATTTTGTTTGAAGTATATCGGGGCCTTAACTGTCAGGATAAGCAGAGATCCTCTAATGGCGGCTCGGCACTGAGAGAACGCAGTGTCTCGTTCACTACTCAGGGAACCATGGTTACATAAGTAACCTGAGATGATATTCTTCTCCTGTCGGACCTCCGTGGAATGAGAAACAAACCGAAAAAAAAATAAAATAAAAAAATAAAATCGCACGTCAAAGAAGGTGGAGTTCCAGAACACACCCACCGACTGCGTAACTGCCATGAACCAATGGAAGCTCAAAGATGTTTAGGAGCCAAAACGAACTCCCCCAGAAAGTTCGCTTTGGTCAGCTGTTTCGAATTGCCGAAATGAACTCAAAACGAACTTAGTTTCGGCCTGATTTTGTTCGAAATGACGTCATATCAGTTCGTTCTTCGATTTCATTTGAAGTATATCGGGGCCTTAAACGTCCTTAACCACGATAAAATCACCGTAACGCATGGCCTCATGTTGATTATTGCTTTCATTTAAGAACTAAGAACTTTACAAGAAAGTTCTGTAAGACGTTCTACAGTGCTTTAGAGCCTACAGGACCCAAACTAAATGGTTGACCAAACACTCATAACGTGACGAAACATTCATTGATAGCAGAAAGTGTCTCCAGGATTAACCTCAGATAGGTTAACCTCAAAAACTCAGTCCTTTCTCTTTGAACTGCTGCTTCGAATTGCACTTACCTGATAAAAGGCGGCCTCTGCTTTGAGGAGCAGACCATGACCAATAGCAGAAGCTTCAGTCACTCATTTCAACAACCCAGTCAACAGAGCCTTATCTCACCCCCTCAGCTTCTTCATCAAGCACAGTATTGATGATCATAGGCTGTACTGCACTTTTATAAATATTAAATATAAGGGAAAAAAAGCAGGTCTGACAGCAAAGCCTGGCTCGTTTTCAAATCAAACACAATATATTTTAAGATAGGAGCAGTACACTCTTAAAAATAAAGGTGCTTCACGATGCCATAGAAGAACCTTTTTGTCTAAATGGTTCCATAAAGAACCTTTAACATCTGAAGAACCTTTCTGTTTCACAAAAGCTTCTTTCTGGCGAAAGAAGGTTCTTCAGATTATAAAAAGGTAAGAAAGAGATGGTTCTTTAAAGAACCTTTGACTGAATAGTTCTTTGTGGAACCAAAAATGGTTCTTCTATGGCATCGCTTGAAGAACCGTTTGAAGCACCTTTTATTTTAAGAGTGTAATCACAGATTTTTGATGTAGCTCTTCACTTTACACAGCAAAAAGCTGCAAATGGAGATGACTGAGGGCAACCTCATCATTTTGTGTGATGATAGAGAGTACCATGCAACAATTAGATTATTCAATTTATTAAGCATAGCGCTGAATTACTTTATCTTAAAAGCCTTACATTGTCCACATTAATTAACAGTAATCCACACTCAACCGTCAAATTTAACAAATGTCTTACGTCTTCAGGCCATACGTTACTAAATGAGCAATTTCAATAGCTGGAACTTTTTTCAAAGAAACGAATCAGCACTTGAAAGTTCATTTAGTGTGTAAGTGACTCCACACAAACACACAAAGCAAGTTACCACAGCGTCTGCTCTAAAAAATAAATAAATAAAAACTTGTATGGTACAACTTTCCAAA